GTGCTCCGGGGAAACTTCCCGTCGAGCAAAGAAGCAGCAAGTTTCTCGTCTTCTCCTGGAAAACAAGGGGAACAGGGACGTCAGAGGGGACATTCCCACAGAACCCAGAGTGCCACCAATCAGTTGCTGCCCCTGCTTCTATCTGAGGTGACTTTGCATCTTTTCAAGCCGAGCTGGAAAGGGCTTGGAGCAACCTGGGATACTGGCAGGTGCCCCTGCCCATGACAAGGGGTGGCACTGGACGGGCTTCGAGGTCCCTTTCCACCCAAACCGTTCTGTGATTCCAGGTTGGGTGGGGCTTGGAGCAGCGTGGTCCAGGGGAAGGTGTCCCTGCCCACAGCGGGGGGATGGAATGAGATGAGCAGTAACATCCCTTCCAACCCAAGCCGTTCTGTGACTCCACAAGTGTTTCCACCCGGCCCCTTGCTCCTCGTCCCCCGGCGCAGCCACGGCGTCTCCCACCAGTCTAGCTCCCACCAGGGGGCTGTGCCCGACCCTTCCCCACCAGGCTGAGCCCTCTGCAGTGACAGAACTGCAGACGTGCTCCATCAGCCCTCCCCACACCACCTGCCAACGTGCCAGACGAGCCGAGTGCCGCCGGCACGGGCCCCGCACGCGCCGCTCCCATCACACCTCCCGGCTCCCCGAGGGGCTGCATATGTTCCCATGTGCCAGACTGAGCTCGGCAGGGTCTAGCAGCGACTCGAGTGATGGGATTTCGAGCGCTGGGAGTGCCCAAGGGAGCCGGATTCCGCCGTTCCTGCCACGAACCGGCTCCCTGGGTGCGCAGCCAGAGCTTTTCCGAGCACTGGGAACGCTCTGGGAAAGACCGGGAGGATTTTAAAGCAAGGGGAGGAAAAATTGGGGGTTGGAGTCAGATGACCTTAAAGTCCCTTCCAGCCCAACCCATTTTAAGCAATTCCATGATCCTACAATCCATTAAAATAACAATCTCCCCCTCCACACTCCAGCCTTCGGCCTCACCTCCCCCCCTCCCCCCCATCCCAACCCCCCATTCCCTGTGCTCACCCCTGGCTTGCCAAAACTCCTTCCCAGCCCCTGTTCCGCTGTTCTCGAGGTCTCAAACCACTCCTGAGAGGATTTTTTTTTGCCTCTAAAGCTTTTCCTTTCCAGAAAATGCTCCTCCTGCACCGTCTGCCGGCACCAAAGAGCTCCGGCAACCACACCCGGGATCCGTCAGCAATTCCACCCGACACAGAGCCCAATGGGGACAAAAGGGAGGATTTTGGCACTGGACTTTCACCCCATGCTGTTGTTCGTGCTCAAAGCTGGGCTATTTTTGTTGAACAGTTTGGGGATTTGCAATCCCGAGGCGGGATAATGAACCGGCAGCACGGAACAGGTTCAAAGGGAGCCTGGACAAAGCTACAGAGGAGCTTTTTTGGAGCTGTTCTGTGCCCTGAACCCCCTGGGTGCTGAGAATTCAGGAGAATTATCTCATCTGTGCCCTGTTTTCCCTCCCCCCCCTTGGGAATCTGCTTGGCAGCAGTGCCTGGGATGGGATCCTGCACTAGATGGAGCCATGGTTTGATTCGGGAGAGACGTTGTCATGGTCTCGGCAGCATCACGATCCGAAAAACCAGTCCTGCCTTCGTGGTTATTTCTGGGAATGGCCAGGAGTTAAAACGAGGATACTTGGGCAGCACTGAGCTCGGTCACCGTGCCCTGGTTGTCACAGGACAGGGCCCGGTGCCAGGAGAACTCATCCTGGGAACGCCCTGCCCGGCCTGCAGATGGGCACGGATGTGCCAAGCACGGAGCTCCTGCAGGAAATCCAGAGGGGAAGCTGGATCTTCCTCCTGGAATGTCCTGGTCATGGCTGCCGGATCAGGGGTGACACTGGGACACCACCAGATCCCATCCCTCCTCCACATTTCCTTAAACGAGGAGGGACACTTGTCCTTCCAAGTATGGAAAACTTGTCAGTGCCTGTGAAAAGGCACGGCCATTTTAGGGAACACTATGGAAAACTACATCCAAGGCACTGCCATATCAGGGAACACGA